GGAGTGACTGGCAGGCTACGCTCTGCAGTTCCATGGCTGGCCAATGTCTGCCTTCTGGCTCCATTGCGAGGGGCCTCCTCTGTCCTGGAAAACAGACTTCCCTACACCAGTGCTTAGTGGGTGCTAGTCCAATAGTCAAATGCCTTTACGCTCTGGATCTTATTAACTAGGGTGCAACCTCAGGAGTTGCTAATTCAAGCAAAAAGCTAAGAATTCATGTCAGTGACTCATCAATATCTAGACCTCCAGCACGAAGCAGATGCTGACAAATAAACATTGAAATGATAGAAAAAATAATACTTTATGTCACAATAAAAGGACCCATATACAGGTCCCCACATCCATTTGTCTCTTTCTTCCTGCCATCTCAAGCCCACTACTTTCTTTTCTTTCCTTTTTTTTTTTTTTTTTTTTTTTTGTACAGGGGATCAAACTCAACCTCACATTGGCCAGGCAGGTGCTTATGCCACTGAGCTATAACTCCGGCCCCTAAACCCACTACTTTCTAGGCCTAAGAGCCAGTCACTGTTCACAGCTAAGTATCACCTTCCTAAGTTTGCAACTGCAGGTCCCTCTGGTCAGAATGCTTTCCCTATTCTTGAGTATACACTTGTTCTCTTTAAAAATCTCGCTCAAATTTGGATCTCCTCCAGAAAGCCTTCCCTGGATGGACTCCTTGCCCATGAAACAGTGGACAGCAAACAGTACCTACCCTAGGGTTGTTCAGAAGATTCACTGAGAGCAGGCCTGTGGCACCTGGCATAGACGTGGTACTCAACAGTGCTAGTTGCTGTCACACCTGACCAAACTCACATCCTTATCACCTTCCTCTCAGGCCCTCCCTACACAATTCCATTACACCAAAGGGGCAAAACATTAGCATGACAGAACGATAATGGTCCTCCCAAAGATGTTTACATCCCAATGCTTGGATCCTGTGTCTATATTACCTTACAGGGCAAAAAGAATTTTGTAGAGATGCTTAAGGCTCTTGTGATGGAGAACTGTCTGGATTATCTGATGATGATGTCACAAGGGTCTGTATGGAAAGAAGGCTGAAAAGTCAAAAAGAAAAAAAAAAGTAACAAGGAAAGTGTGAGGTAGAAAGAGAAAGATTTAGGGCAGGGGATGTAACTCAGTGGTACAGCAAGTGCTTAGCATATGCAAGGCCTTGGGTTCATCATTCCCCACAGCAAGGCAGGGAGGAAAGGAGGAAGAAAGGGGAGGAGGGGGAACAAAGGAAGATGTGAAGATGCTGTGCTGCTGGCTTTGGAGGAAGAGGGGCCACAAGCCAAGGAATCCAGGGGCCTCAGATGCTGGAAAAGGCAAAGAAACAGACTTTCTCCTAGAGTTTCCAGAAGGAACATAACATTACAGAAACCTTAACTTTTAATATTTCTGATGCCCAGAACTGTAGGTAATAACTTTGCGTTGTTTTAATGAAGTTTGCTATCATTTGTTACAGCAGCAATAAGAAACTTATAGTCTGGAACAATGGCTCTGAACATGGGGCAATTTTGCTTCCTTGGAGACGTTCTGTCTGGAGACATTTGGGATTGTTGTTAAGTCCAGGCTGCAAGCGGCACCACAAGGAAGAATGATCTGATCAAAATGTTAGCAGTGCTGAGACTGAGAAACTCTGCTCTAGAACAATGGTGGAACTTACCATTGTCATTAGGGAGGCTGATCCAACCCTCTTTCCCTCTTGTCCTCTTTAAAAACAAATCTCCATGCATTCCATAGAGACAGAGAAATTAGCTTACTGACTGATGAGAACAACAATCTGCTACATAAACCAGCAAGATAAGCCAACACTTGTTCTGCTTAAAGGCTCATAACAGTACCTCTGCAAGCTGGGCATAGTGGTGCTGTACTGCAAGGAGTTCAAGGTCAGCCTGCCATACATAGTGAGTTCTAAGCTAGCCTGAACTATATAGTGAGCTCCTGTCTCAAAAAAACAAAGAAACAAAATGAAATAACAACTAATAAATCTAGTCCAAAATGTAATCTATTAAAATAGATTTTTTAAAAAAATACTTTTGCAGCACACTGTTTTCTTCTAATAAAATTCTCATTGGGCAAGGGCTCTTGTATTATTTAGAAATTATAAAAATACATTTTAGGGTGTAAAGCACAAGATTATAATTATAGCTTCGATTAGCAAAATGCACAAGGGAGCTTTAAATTTTAATGTTTAAGCATCTGCAGATACCTCTTTGTGTGCCTAGAACACAGTGAATTCCTGGCAGGTCAGACGAGGAATACAGTGTATCTTACTTCTTCCAGTGAACTCTGTGTTTACACAGCCCTCCTAGGGGCCAGATCACGGGAACATATCAAACAAAAGCAGCCGTGTCTTCTTCTTCTCCAGCTCACAGCCCAGAGCATGCCTAGCACACACCGTGAGTCCAGGCCTGTACACTGTATAAATGAGTAAGTGAAGGAAGGAGAGCAATCTGCTGCTGTCACAATGGACCCAGCAGGCACAAGGAGCATGGGGAATACTGAATTGCTGTTTCAGGGAGCCAGTTAGCCCAGTGGCAGGGCTGAAATTTCATGGAGCACCTGAAAAGCACTGAGACCAGGATCTGAGTTCAAGTCCCAGATCTGCCACTACTATCTGAGTGAGCAATGTTGGGCAAATTACCTAACCTCTCAGTATCACCCTCTGTAAAATTCATTCACTCAATAGACTGAAGCAGACTGAATAAGGAACAAAGGTAAAAAAGCTAGCTAGCAAAGCCACTGTAGTGTAGACATGTGGGCAGTCCCACATGAATGCCCAGCCTTTGCCTCTCCTATACCTTGGTCATGTGACTGCATTAGGACCAGTGGAATTGGACAGAAATAACCAGCCTACTTTCAGGCCCACCCAGAAGCCTGATTCCCACACCCTGGGCAGCCTCCCCTCCACCATGATCCTGCTCAGAGCAGATTCATGGCATTTCAGTATCACTTACAAAGTATTTGCTGTGGAACTCAATCTCCCAGGAGGACTTGAGCTCCACGCTCCTCCCTCCCTGGGCTTTGAACTGGCTGTACCCTCCTCAGGCTCCTGTCTCAGGGTACTTATCAGGTCTCAGCTTAAATGTCGTCTCCTCCAGGAAGTCTCCCCTAAATCACAGACACTTTTAATCATAATTCTAACAGAGAAGTTTAGCAATTTACCCTAAAAATCACAGCTAGAAAGAGGGTGAGTTAGATTTGCAGCTGATGCTGCCTGAATCCAGGGCTTATGACATAGTCATCACATTCTGAATCAGCAATTCTAAAATTGTGGTACTGGGACTCTCTGGACCACCAGCAGCAGCCAGAGCAACAGCCTCACTGAGGAACTTCTCAGACGGAAATGCAAACTCTCTGGCGTCACTTAGACCTACCAAATTAACTTCCAGATTTAAACAAGCCCTCCAGGGGAGGCTCTTGAGCCCTGCAATTGAGAATCGCAGGTCTAGAGAAACTTTTTGCAGTTGATTACCTGTTGCTCAGCCACTTCCTGTGTTTTGCTGGCCCCTGCTTTATTATCAGCATGTCAGTGATTCACTCCTTTTTTTGTATGAGGTCTTTCTGTTTGTGTCCACCACCCCTGGCCGAAAGAATATGATCCCACAACACCTTAAAGCCCAAGCCACTTTATCCCAGGTGTAGACACTGCCCTTTCTCTAAACCTTCCTTCCAGGAGCAAACTATTTTGGTAAGCAGAAAGGACCTCCCTCCACACAGAAATTTCTTTTAGTCAGACCAGCCAACTGCTACTACTGGCTCTAGCCCTGATCCTGAAACTTTTCTGCTTCACGTTTAAGAAGTGAACCAGAAATATACTGTGACTCCTGTGTAATGAACTGGAGCTCCAAATTTCTGCATTCACCCTAGGCTTTCTCCATACAGCTCCCAGGATTCCCACAACCAGACACCAATCCTGGCAAACACTGGACAAGACTTTTTTGGAAAATCTGACTAGTGCAAGATACAAAATCTGAAGACCTACTACTCCAGTGGGTCAGTGTGGCAGGAGCAGCTGGAGGGAAGAGCACAAAGAGCCATAGCCACAGACCTCAAAGAGCTCACTGGCGCCCATTCTTCCCTGCAGACACCAGGGACTACCAGGAGGCCTAGGCTCCTTTCAGCTCATGGCTGTGTCCTCCTCACCAGGCCAGCAAAAAAGGAAGCGGGGTGTGTTCCAATGCCCAGGCTTGAGAGAGGGAAGTGGTCTCATCTCCTCTCCAACCCCACATCCCACGCGCTACACATGGTGGGATTACAGCTCTCACTTGCTTGCTCTGTGTCCCCCACTTAACCCATCTTGCTTATTACATAGACTCTGCTGATCACGTGGCTGGCCCCCACTTACAGGGCTTCTGGGAACCTGAGGACCACTCAGAGCTTCAGTTTTCTTCTCTGTGAAATGCGCCTTCCCCTATGAGTGACCCAAACACGACAGGGAGCGCTGAAGGAGGACTCAGTAGTAAAGTTCCCAGTGAAAGTCCCCACTGGGCATATCTTTCCCTCAACACACACACACACCCGGGACGCAGCTAGACTGCTTCGGGCGCCCCACCCTCAGGCAAATCTAGCCCCAGGCTTACCCGAGGCCCCGCCCCCTGCCACCGCGCGCGCCACAGCTCTGCCCCTTGGCACATTTGTCAGGTGCGCCTGCCAACACCCAACTCCTGCAGCCAACAGTGTAGCGAGAGCGTACACACAACCTTCGGAGTTCCGGGAATTCGGGCCCACGCAGTCTCTAGTTAAGGGACCAAGTGGGAGAGGTGGCTCCGGACCTCGCAGCCAAGCTGGTTGCACTGCGCGCCCCCTCTCCGGAACCCCAGCCCGCCTCGCGGCCAGAACGCGGGCACCGCTTGCCCAGTGCGTTTCTCACGTACACGACTCCCCCATTTTACAGAAGCAAGCCCCGAGCGCCCCCGCTTTCTTCTCGCCTTCTGCGCCACCTCGGGCTGCAGCGGAGCGCGCGGGCCTGCCGAGCGCAGCGGGTCCCCACCTACCTCTCTCTGCTGCGAGGGCGCGGCAGCCGCTGAGCACCGCCGCGAGGAACCAGAGGAGTCGGCAGAGGCTCTCGGCGCGGCGCTCCAGGGTGCAGGGCGGGGGAGCCCCCGAGAGTGCCGGGGAGCGGCGAGGGGGCGCGTGCCTGGGACTGGAGCGCGGGCGATCGGGAGCCGGAACGGAGCAGCTGTGGCGCGAGTGTTGGTTCCAGGAAGGAGCGAAGCTCGAGCAGCAGCTGCGGCGCGTCTAGGGTAGGAGCGGCTGCCGGGGCGGGACTGCGGCGCAGGGCGCTCACGTGGCCGCCCCCACCCCCTCCGTAGCCGTCACCGCCCCTGCAGCAGCCGAGCTGGCCTTCCGCCCCTTGCTCAGCGACTAACGGTGAGCGGCTGCTCCCCGGCCTGTGGAATGCAGATACACTACAGCGTTGGAGCTTGACTAAAGCCCATGCCCGTTTGTGTAAATCTCTGTGCATACCTTTGAAATATTTTTGTCGGAAGTATTTTTTCAGACTTCTGCTATATACAATTTAGGCACTTAAAATAATTCCAATCATCTGTGCAATAATTATCTCCTCCAAGGATTGCTTTTTGTTGTTGTTTTCTCCCAGGTTGAGCTCAAACTCCCGGGTTGGGCTCAAATTTGAGATCCTCGGTTGGAGAGCTGGGATCATGTGCGTGCACTAGCACACTAGGCTTCACTTAGAGTGTCCTGGGTGTTGCTATATTCCTGACTCTGAACCCAGGGCCTAGAACTTGGTATATGCTTAATAAGTCCTATGATATAAATGGATAGTATGATAACTACTGTGAATATTTTGCTATTATGTACTTCCACACACTTTCCTAGTGAAACTTTAGAAATCTCACAAATTTCTTTTTAGAAATAAAATAGCAATTTAAAAAATTTGAATGTTAACAATTGTATTTGTCAAACAACTTACTTCATTCTAGCTCCACACCAACTCTTGTAAGGTAGATAGGTATCGTTAACCTTGTTTTACAGATTATAAAATTAAGGCTGATAGAGATAATGACTTGCCCAGCAACACAGCCAGCAAAAAAACAGGGCTAAAAGTTATCAGACTTCTAGGAACCACTGAGGTGTCTTTGGGAGTTACAAAAGGGAGTAGAGGAGGACTTTCTATTGCAGGGCTCCAAAGCTCTGGGGTCTGCTTAGTTACCTTGTGATGAAAGGAGAGAAATTTGAATGGCTCCCCAGGGCAGAAGGGGAAGGAGGCAGGCAAGAACTTGAGAATTTGGGGGCTCAGGAAATGAAGTCTTGAAGTGACAGCCTCCAAGCAAAGTTTCTCTTTTCCTGTCTTAGTTATCTTTCCTGTTGCTGGGACAAAACCAAACCAAACCAAAACAAAACTCACCAAAACTATAGGGGAAAAGGTGTATTTAGCTCACAGTGTATGGACGTTTCAATCCATAGTTGACTGGCTCCAAGCAGAGTGGCATGGCAGAGGAGAAAAGTTCATGGTGCCCATGAGGCAGCAAAAGCAAAAAGGGATCTTAATAGCATCTTTCTGCCCCTCTCATATTGTACCTAGACCGCTGAATCATATGGCTCCAGTGGCAAAGCAGCCTGCGCAGCAGTCTGGAACTGTTGCAGAGCCTTTTCTTGTTCTGGGCCCCACTCAAAACTAGCAGCTCTATGAGCTGGGAATATAGCTCAGGGGCACAGCCTCTGCCTGGCAACTGCAAGGTCCTCAGTTTGATTCCCAGTACCAAAACAAAAACAAAAACCCACCACCATCACCACCATCACCAACAACAAAAAAACCTAGCAGCTTTCCAAGTCACTTGGTAAATGGGCTAGAGAAAGACATCAAAGTGAGGAATGTGCTCCCTCCAAGATGCAAATAGGCCCACTACACCTTGTGCTGATTTTTTTGGTTGTAGGGAAAGCCAGATGGAATACCTTTTATCTTAGAAGGAATATCTCTACATGATTTACACCACTGGACTCCTAGAAATTTCACTGGGGTAGAAGAACCTTGAATTTTTGTCTGATTTATTTCCCATCCCACGGCTCTCAAAAGCCTTACTAACAAATCCGGCATGGTTGCTACCTCCTGCTCACTTGACCCAATCAGCATACTATCATCAATATAATTGGCCAGTATGCTATGTTGTGAGAGAGAAAGGTGATTAAGATCTCTATGAACTAAAGTGTGACACAGGGCCAGCGAATTAATACAACCCTGAGGTAGTATAGTAAAGTTATATTGCTAGCATTGCCAGCTGAAAGCATATTGTGTCTGATGGTCCTCAGGAACAGGTATGGAGAAGGCATTTGCCAAATTTATAGCTGTATGCCAAGTACCAGCACATGTGTTAATCTGCTCAAGCAAGGAAACTACATCTGTACCATAGCTAACATCAGAGGCACCACTTGATTCAGTTTATGGTAATCTGTCATTTTCAAAGACCCCTCCATCTTCTGCACAGCCCCAATGGGAGACTTGAATGAAGATATGGTGAGTAACCCATGCCTGGATACTTCAAGTTGTTGATGATGGCACCAATCTCTGTAATCTCTTCAGGAATATGATGCTGCTTTTGGTTTACTATTTTACCAGGCAGAGATAACTCTAATGGATTCAATTTGACCTTTCCAACAGTCATAGCCCTCAGACTATAGGTTAGGGAGCCAATGTAAGGATTCTGCCAACTACTAAATATGTCTATCCAATTATACATTTTGGAACAGGAGAAATGACTACAGCATAGATTCAAGGACCTACCAGACTCATTGTGAGTTGGACCTTTGCTAAAACTTCATCGATCTCTGACCTCTTACTGGAGGTCCCCAAGGATGTTTTGAATCCCCTGGAATCAGTGTTAGTTCAGAACCAATGTCTAACAGTCCCTGAAATGTTTGATCATTTCCCTTCCTCCAATGTACAGTCAATTGGGCAGAAACCCTTAGGTCTCTCTGAGAAAGGATAAGAGAAAGATTGACTGTATAAATTTTTGGCACATCAAGGTTCTTTCCCAAAGAGAACTTATTTCCCCTTCATTTAAAGGCTTCTGGTTATGTAAACTGGCTCATATTCGAGAGCTGGTTGATGGGCATATGATTCTCCATTATCCTAATTTGAAGTAGGTTTCTGTTCATTTGCCTTTAAGTGTTTTCAATTATATAAATCTAATAAAACTTTTGTAGGCTTCTCATCTCTTTCACTTTTGGGAACATTGTGGCTGATCAGCCAGTGCCATGGATCTACACGTGTCAGATTATTCTGGTCATTGTCCTGCTTCTGCTGTCCCTTACAGTAAGTACATGGACCCTGCCTTTGGTGATTAAGTGCTGCCACTTGTCCTCTGCCACTCCAGGGTCCAAGCAAGTCCATTGCCTTTAAATTTCCCAACTGAGTAACCGCAGGCCCCATCATAAAGTCTGGCATACAGAGAAGAACAATGACAGTGCTTTTCGGGGATGCTGGTGCTCCCCACCCAAATCTGTTTCTCAAGGTATTGGTGAAAGGTATATTTTCTGGATCATCCCAGTGTAGAAGATTAGGTATAATGGAACAGATTCACTCCAACATTGCCATTTTCCTAAGCTTCTGAATCCCTTCATCAAGAGTAAACCATGGAATATCAGGCATCTCTAACTCCTTCACAGTGGGCATCTTTTGACCCATACTTATGCCAACCAGTCAAATAAGCTATTAACACCTTTCCCTACTCAGTGAGCATTACGTTCAGAATCCCTGCTTTTAATGGGCCCACATCAACAAACTTGCCTTAATCCAGGTGTATATTTTTGCCACTGTTATCCCACATCCATAAAATTCATTCCCATTCTTGCTTATTAGGCCTTGGCTTATAAAAAGTAGAAAACTCAAGAAATTCTTTGGGACAATAATGGATCACACCAGGAGCCTTCTGAGATTTGAGTCTGGTTATAGGCCTAGAGGCAAAAATGGGTGGTGAGGAGTATCAGCACTACCCTGCGTGGTCAACACAGAATCGGTTGGCGCAGACATACTGAAAGAGGCCAACACCACAAAAGGTAGAGGTAGGAATCTCCCTGCCACAGTGGGTGGGGAAATCTCTTCCTCTGGCAAAATAATCCCATTAGCACTTAAAAATTGGACATCCTCAGCTTTCTCATTATCCTCCCACACATCTCCATCCCAGTTTATGGGATCCCATTCTTTTCTGATCAGCGCCCTTACCTTTGCTTCATGTACCCTTTGAGGCTGAGCATTAAACTTACTTTGTAGTTCAGCCAGCTGAATTATGAGGGACTGTGTTTGGGTTTCTGCAGTCTCAGGCTTGTGGCTAAAAAGAGGAGATTTTCTTTCAAGACACACCACAGAAACTTTTAAATTTCTTATGTGTGCCTGGAGCTGGGAACTTGAATCTTTGAGCTCTTTATTTTCCTTTATGAATTTGTCCTCACAGCCAGAAGACTAGACTTTCTATGGGTGTTTTGAGCTATTGTTTTCCTTCATTAGTTTGTCCAGGGATGCTACGATCAACCAGCCAGCATCATGTTTCTTAGCCTGCCAAAAAGACACAAAACTTTCCTGTATGGAGTTACTAAATTCCTTACATCTCACATTTGATTATTAGGATGATCAAATGGATCTACAGAGTATATTAGCTTAAACAAGGATGTGTCAAGGATTATCAGTATCCCCCACAGAATCACAAGGGGAGACCATGGTGTCTTTAGGTTTCATCAAATTAAAGAGCTGACTCCAGGAACACCTAAGCCATTAAAAAATTTTTCTCATTATAATTCTGTTTCTTTAGAGTCACTTCTAGTACCATAATCTGTATCAGTGTTTTACTAGAGAAACAGATATAACACAAGAAATATAAATGTATAAGAAACTACAAGATAGGGACTGGAGATTTAGCTCAGAGGCATAAGTGCCTGCCTTGCAAGCAGGCAGTCATGAGTTCGGTCCCTGGTACCGATAAAAAAGAAAAAGACAAAAAAAAAAAATTGAAAAGAAACTACAAGATTGGCTTACAATGGTCACCCACAAAGTCAGATGAGGAAAAGCACAGAGGGCATCTGCATGCTGGAGACCAAATATTTCAGTCCAAGGTCTGGAGTTCACTGCGTTGTCCCATGCAAGTCCATATCAGGAGGCTGATGGGTCTGTGATGAAGGCTGAAGAATCCATGGTGGCAGCCAAAGAGTCTGCCCTGGAAGCCAGGAGATGACGTCCAAACTGG